TTTGCTGCTTATGGTTCCATTTAAAAATGAGATTGGTGTCAACAGAAAGGGAACTATTTAGTCACTGGTTCCTGTAAATTAACCTTAGCCACAAATTATGCTTGCTGAACCCCGAAAGCCTGTTTTCTTTTCTGTAGCATCCATGTCGTATCCTGCCAAGGCTCAGAGCATCCAATTCACACAATGTTTGCAATTATTAAACTCTGGAATCAGATCCAGTAGTAAATGCAGGGGACCTTTTGGTACAGTAAACTACTAATTTTCCACAGCATTCTCAATGGGATGCATCAATTGTTTAACAGTGCAGAACAATGATATATTTAGGACATGACGTGGGTGAAAACTACTGTGAAATTTTGAGAGTGGATTTGTGACGGGCAGATGAAACACATTATTTGGTTGATTCCCACATTGAATCCAGGCATTATATGTCAAGAGGGGGATGGTATGCCTCCTTTCTTTCTTGTCCAAAGCTGTAAAAGGATGAAAGAAAGTTGGCAAGAATTGTTACCCCCCCCCCTTCCTGACTTGGCAGGCTTCATACGAGAACACCTAGGAAATCATTTTCGTGAGGTATTAGTTCCCCTCTATTCAGCAGGCGGTCAGGCCTAATCTAGAGTACTGCATCCAATTCTGGGCAACAGACTTTTAAGAAGGATGCCAACGAAGTGGAGCAAGTTCAGAGGAGGGCAAGAAGGACGATCATGGGGACTGGAAAGCAAGCCCTGGGCATGTTTAGCCTTGAGAAAAGAAGAGGGGAGATATGATAATACATTTAATGTACTTGAAAGGTAGTCATACAGAAGAAGGGCAGGATCTGCTCTCGATCATCCCAGAGTGCAGGACACATAAGACTGTGCTCAAGCTACAGGAAGCCAGATTTAGGCTAAATATCAGGAAAATTAACTGTTAGAACAGTACGACAATGGAACCAGTTACCTCAGGAGGTGGTGAATGCTCTAACGCTGGAGGGTTTCAAGAGAAAATTGGATAACCATTTTTCAGACCTGCTTTGATTTGGATTCCTGCACTGAGCATGGGATTGGAGTTGATGGCCTTATAGGCCCCTTCCAACTAAGGTATTCTATGATTCCTTGATTCCTCCATTGCCAGTTCAGCATCACCCTATTGCCTCAAATTTGATATCATCAAGCAGCCCCTTGTGATTTCACGAGGCTGTGTTCTTGTGATATCACAGAGACTGGACAAATATGGTGTGGGAAGCAGGCATTTATAACACACATGGCCATCTCTTTGTAGTGATCCAGGAAGCCCAGGTACCAGCTGGGAGTTAATAGAGATGGGAAGCTGTAACGTCCATCTCCAGTGTTGCTCACTGAGATTTTTCTCCCTGCCTGAACACCAGAAGAAGCACAGCAATTTACTGAGACTTCAGGTGAAGCATTCCTACCTGAAAACTCTATCCTTCTTCAGCTTTTACCTGTCACAGGCTGTCCTTCAGCTCATGCCCCATTTCCTGCTCCTAGTGTTTCTCCATCTTTTAAACGTATGCAATCTTAAGGGATGTGGTGGCTCTGCGGGTTAAACCGCAGAAGCCTCTGTGCTGCAAGGTCAGAAGACCAGCCATCGTAAGATCGAATCCACGCGACGGAGTGAGCTCCTGTTGCTTATCCCACCTCCTGCCAACCTACCCATTTGAAAGCATGTAAATGCAAGGAGATAAATATGTACCATCATGATGGGAAGGTAATGGCGTTCCATGTCTAGTCGCGCTGGCCATGTGACCATGGAAACTGTCTTCCAACAAACACTGGCTCTATGGCTTGGAAACGGGGATGAGCACCGTGCCCTAGAGTTCGACACAACTGGACTAAATGTCAAGGGGAACCTTTACCTTTGGTAATGGCATTCCATGTCTAGTCGCGCTGGCCACGTGACCACGGAAACTGTCTACGGACTAACGCTGGCTCTATGGCTTGGAGACAGGGATGAGCACCGCACCCTAGAGTAGGACACAACTGGACTAGATGTCAAGGGGAACCTTTACCTTTATCTATGCCTGTCTTCAAAACTATGTCCTTTAGAGGATGACTGGTCTTACTTCAACAATAGTAATACATTAGTACCTTGTTTTACAAACTTAATCTGTATTGGAACAGTGTTCGTATGTCAAAAAGTTCATAAGTCAAGGCAAACATTTCCATAGGAATCTATTGAAAACCGTTTAATCTGTACCTGCTGTTTTTCATTCATATGTTGGAGCGCTGTTCGTAGGTAGAGGCATTAGTTCCCACAGGAACTAATGCAAAGCCGATTAATCTGTACTCTACCACTAGGGGGAGATTTTTTAATTTTTTCTTCTTTTCACCTAAGATGAACTTAGGTCAAAAAAAGGGCAGGAAAGATTTTTTTCCCATGTTTTTTTGTTTGTTTGTTTCGTACGTCGAGGCTCCATTTGCAAGTCGAAGCAACATTTTGCGGACAGAGCCATTCATAACTCGAAACGTTTGCTAGTGGAGACGTTTGTAAGTTGAGGTTCCACTGTATGACAACATCCTGCATCCTGAGGGGAACAGGCTAGTTTGTATGGCAAACAGCAAACTCGGTGGCACACGTGGCCCCTGCCTCCATCAGCTTTGTGCTGCTCTTTGCCCATCCCACCACCTGCCTAATGGTGGGGCTGACTTTAATGGTAAGAAAGATTCAACTTACCACCATTGCCATATCCAGATGCTCTTCCATCCATGACACATTATAATGTTCTTCATCTCTTCCACTCCTTTTCACCATTTGAGGCTCAGTTCTGTGGCTACCACAATTGTCACGCCTCACATCAACCGCTGATGAAAAAAAGAGGGGGGAAAACAGTCTAAGAGGGAATTCAAGAAGGATTTGTCCCGTATTTGACTTTGTAGGCTTGCTGTTGCTCATTCCCTTCCATACTATCAGAACGAAAGCGATTCGTATGGCATATTTCCATTACTTTGGTTCTCTGCCCTTCAGCTGCTGTTCAGAGTGAAAGGCAAACGGAAGGGGGGAGAGATGGAGAAAAACAGGTCCTTCCTTCCCATTAAATAACCCTGCAGACTTTAATTTGAAATAAACAAAGCATTTTAATGCCTGTCTCCTCAGGGGATTGTACTGAGTGTTTCTAAATTGCTGAATATTTAACAATCCCACTCATGCTCCAGACCCCAAGGTCTGTTCCCCTCCCCCTCCCCACAAAGCTAAGCCTTTTTTTATTAAATGAACTTTAATTACTTAATAATTAGGCCTTCTGTAGGGGGAAGATGAGGAACGGGATAGACTGCCAACCATGCCGTAAGGCAAATGAAACTGGCGTGCCATTTTCTGATTAGAATTTTAAAAGCAGGTGCATGAAACATTCTTCTGGACCCCAGTTAGAAGCTGAAGCCTTCCTTGAGGGAACAAAGACAGGGCATGAAGTTGAGGGGTGGAAGACTTTGTTTCTTGAGGATTGCCTCGATTAACTGAGCAGAAGCAGGGAAGGATGCAGGGAGCAGCTTTGCACAAGAAGAGGAAGAGGAGGCAGAAGAGGAAGCTAAGAGTGAGTTCTTGTGGTGGTTGTTTAGATGTTGTGTCCAACTCTTTGTGACCCCATGGACCAGAGCACGCCAGGCCCTCCTGTCTTCCACTGCCTCCCGGAGTTGGGTCAAAGTCATGTTGGTCGCTTTGGTGACACTGTCCAACCATCTCATCCTCTGTCGTCCCCTTCTCCTCTTGCCTTCACACTTTGCCAACATTAGGGTCTTTTCCAGGGAGTCCTCTCTTATCATGAGTGACATCCCTTAATTTTACACTTCTAGGGTCACAGAGAAAAGGAAAATAGGCACATCTCTAGCGGTGGGGATTGTTACATAACAGCACTGATGTTACCTGTCTGTCATGGGTTTGGAGGGAAAGTTCCATCCTATGGGAGGTGGGGATTTTTGGAGTTTTTGCAGCCTTGCACTCTTCCTCTAGCAGGTGTGGCTAGGAGGGACCTTTCTGGGCTTGGGGGCCTGTCAGTCACTAAGAACACTAACCATGACCCATTTCTCCAGTCACCTGGCTCACATACCCTCCAGTCCCAACCCTTGCCTACTCAATTTATGTTACTTTACAAGGGCCATTCTCTTGGTCTCGGAATCTAGGGAATAGGATGCTTAGGGCTTGGCATTCCTGGTGGGAGGGATGACCTTTGGATGAATGTGTCTGATGTGGTTTGGGCTCTTTGGGTCAAATCACAAATTAAGATAAATATGTATTTCCTAAGTTCAATCCATTTTTTAAATTCCAGAATCAGGTTCTGGATCAGAGATGTGTGACTTAGCTATTAAACTTGTAAATTCAGTCCATGTTTACCTTCATTAGTTAAACAGAAGAGGTATGGGAAGGAAATCACATGCCACGAGAAACAGACACCTTTTAGCAAGCTTCCAAAATTTAAAAAAAATCTACCAAACAGAGGCTGATTTACAGAGATGTTTTGTGGCTAGTCCCTTTCAAATGAATGGGGCTTTACATTTTTGCCAAAAGGTACTTGTATAGGATCACTCAAAGGCCATCCACTTTCTACAGAAGACTGTTGCATGAGAACATTTATATTTCAGTAGCCGTCATCCTGTTATGTAGCTTCCCCTGTGCAATAGGATTAATGTCACCAGCAGTAGGAGATTGCTGCTAATTAAAGAGTCCCCATTTCAGTTTCAAGTTGTGATTTGCATTCAATGTGAAGTCACATGAACCTCGAAACTGAAAAAGCAATTCTTCAATTTGTTGCAGCTGGTGATGTCACTCCTGTCAGGCAGGCAAAGCTATCCAACAGGATACTCAACACTGGATGTTATTAATAATTAGCTTTGGGATCCATTGTTGTCTAAAAAAGTGGATTATACGTATAGAAATAAAACCATGAACATCATCTGCACTTGAAGAGCAATGAAATAAAAACGGTACCCAGACAAAGATATTGAGAAGAAAAATATATCCTATCAGAATTTCTTACAACTGTTTTTTTTTCCTCTCAATTTCTGCAGGTCCATTGAGGTTTCTCTCCCAGACAGACTCTGTCACAGCATTTACAGGGGACACTGTTTTGCTAAAGTGTGAAGTCATTGGAGAACCTATGCCAACAATCCACTGGCAAAAGAATCAAGAAGACCTGACCTTCAGTCCTGGTGATACCCGTGTGGCAGTCCTGCCTTCTGGATCTTTACAAATCAGCAGAATTCAAGCAGCCGACAGTGGGATCTATAGATGCCTTGCCAAAAACCCTGCCAGTTTGAGAATTGGTAATGAAGCAGAAGTCAGAGTTTTGTCAGGTAAGGAACACTGTGTCTGTTGTTTTATGAGCGACACATTGTCAAACAGCAATATCATCACTAAAACGTATCTATATGTATCTCTGTGTGTAATAATACCTGTCAGCTTGGGTAACGGCACGTGAGGAGAGATGTGGAAAAATGTTGCTGTTGCTGAGACTCTGGTTGAGGCAGAGTATCATCTCAACATGACAAAACAGGCTGTTGATGATTCTCCAACTTCCATGAAAGATCTTACTTCCATATGAGACTAAAACACCATGTATTTGGCGGGTGGCGGTGGGGTTGGTCACGTCTTCTAATTTTTGCTCAAGATATCTCTGCATAAAAGCATTGGCTTTTTAATTTGTTAAGCAAAGCACACATCCGCACCAAGTAAGCCAAAGATACAGACAGTCCGCCCAAGGCTACTGTTTTTACTAGTCTGTGCAACATGTTGAGTTAAGTGTC